CAGGGTCCATGGAGAAGTACAGACTGGGGATACCAATTAGAAGTCATCAACAGGAACCTGGGAAAGGTGTGCGAGGGAGTGAGTGTGGACAGGGGACCCAGGTCAGAGCTGGAGGGCGGGGAGTCTTGGAGAAATCAGAAAGGCAGAAGGAGTGGCCGTGAGCAGGAGAGTAGGAGGGCTGTGAGGGCTGACACCGCTGAGAGCCAGTGGAGAGAACGTGAGCCTCAAGGTTAGACTGTGGGGGGACTGGGTCAGGAGAAAGGACCTCCACCAGGGGAGCGACTGGCCCAGTGGGGCGGGGGGGTGGCAGGGACGGTAATGGGGCCACCAAAGGAGAGGAAGTCCAGAAGGCTGGAGATTCATCCCTGTGGATTTTGAGATCACCAAGAACTATGACAGGCATGGTTGGGAAGTGACAGGGAACTAGGGGTGACACCTTCAGGAGACCAGGGAGGCTCCCAAGGTGCCACCGACTTCCACAGGGTGAGGTCTGACGAGACAGGGTTCAAAGTGGAGAAGAGAGTGGTCCGGAAGTGCCAAGGAGGAAGGAGGATGCGCCCCTCTCCCCAAGTGCGGTGGTCCCAGGTGTGGCACCCCAGGAGCCAGCGGGGGAGGTGGCATCCCAGGCAGACAGGGCTTGGTAGGAGAGTCTGTACTCACCCAGAAATTAGGGGAACATGACTTCCCAAACGTGGAGAGGTGTCAACACTCAGATTTTGGAGAACAATGTTGACAATGCCCAGCCACAGGGAGATGCTGCCGCTCATCAGGCGCTAGGATGCTCTCGCTGCCCAGTATCAGGTGGCTAAGGGAATGGGTGTCGGTCCCATGGCCTGTAAGAGTGAAAGACATGGGGGTGGGGACTGACTGAAACCCCAAGCCTTAGCATCAGCAGCCTGGTGCTCCCGGCCTCTGCCTGGGTCCTGGGTGTCTGCTTCCCCCGTCTCCATCCTGCCTCCTGGATTCCTTCAGCCTTGGCCTCTGTCACAAACACTGACGGACAACTCAGCACCCGATTCCCACTCTCAGGCAGAGAGAATCTGTGATGGTCCTAGCCTGGTCATTTGACAGCTCTGGTCCCAGCTGCCTGAGTCCACAGACTGCTCCCCCTTGGCAGAAGAGAGACAGACTCGAAAGAGGGTGTGGGGGCCAGGGGCAGGCCGAGGTCTACAGTATCTCTGATGTTCCGGAGTCCGTGTGCCAGTGGGATGCTGAGGGGCAGAGTGAATGCGGTTGCCACTCTCAAGTCAGAGGTGGGGAAGGGCACGCGTAGATGGCATTTGGCAGGCCCTCAAGGGATGTCAGTTGAACTCTGTCGTGTGGAATGCTGTCACAGTGGCCAGATGAGAGGAGAGGCCCCCTTAAGCCTGGAGCCCCATGTCTGGCCTGGAAGGTACCTCCGTCTTTCCCCAGAGACTCCTCCACTGACTTTCCTGCCTCGCCCCCTGCCCCCCACCCCGCATGGCCAACAGTGGGCCCTGGAGGTGCCCCTGGGACCACTAGCTATCTGGGGCTTGGCCCGCTTGGGCCTGGGTCCAGGAGAACAGACAGCTGGCCTTTGATGGCTCCCAAGAAGCACCTCATCAGATGAAAAGCCAGGGCCCAAAGCCACTGAGCTTCTGTAAATGCTGCAGAAAGGAAGGGATAAGGACAGGGAAGGAGAGGGTGGAGGAAATGGACACTATCCCTGGGTCCAGGGCTTGGTCCATCCCAGCTATTCCAGTTAGTACTGCTGTGTAACAAATGACCCCAAAATCTCAGGGTAAACACTGTCCTCTTCTGAACCAGGATCTGGAATGGAAGACGCAGGGGCAGCTAGGAAGATGCAAAGGGTGGCTCGGCAGCCGTAGGCTGGGATCACCCGGCGGTGTCTCACTGATATGTCTGGCAACTCAGACCGCCACTGGGCTGCTGGTTGCAACACTTGCACAAGGCCTCTCCGTATGGCTTCTCCATATGGCCTCTCCATGTGGCCTCTCCAGGTGGCCTCTCCATGGGGCCTCTCCATGTGGCCTTTCCATGGGCTTCTCCATGAGGCCTCTATTTGGGGCCTCTCTATGGGGCCTGTTTGGGTTTTCTCACAGCATGGCATCTGGGTTCTGAGAGTGGATGTCCCAAGACAGCAAGGCAGACGTGTGTGGCATTTTTAGGATCCAGCCTCAGAAGTCACATCTCACCACTTTCCCTATCCTTGTTTGTTGATGTCACAAAGTCTCATCAAGGGCACACCATGAGGGTATGTAGGTGGGAGCTAGTGTTGTAGCCATCTTTAGAAAATATGATCTGCCACCCCAGGGTCTAGCCCCATTTCCCCACTGGAGCCCAGAACCCCCTCCCTGCTCAGAGCAAGGGAGCCAGGTGGGTCCTACCAGAGAGCAAGTCCAGATGTGACAGGCAGGGAGGGGGCAATCAGAGTGACAAGGGCCCAGAGACACAGCCACACAGACTGTGGGAGTGCAGCCCAGTGTGAAGGACACGGTGAGTGATGACCCCAGGGAGGCGCACCTTGCTCTGGCCTAGAGGGGGCTCCTTGTTGGGCCAGAGCTGGGAAGGCCAAGACAGGCCCCTGGAGACCCTGGTGGGGGACATCCCTCCCTCTCTGGCAGGCATCTGATGATGAGCCTAGAAGGCTCCAGAGGGCGCAGAGGGTTGTGGGGCACCAGGCAGAGTTGAGGACAGCAGCCCCTCCCGGCCTCAGCCTACCCTCTGTTCACTCCCTGCACGAGGAGGCCTCCCGGGGGCAGGAACACCAGTAGCTGACACGTATCCAGTTCTCACCGTGTGCTGAGTGCTTTCAAAGTCGGATCCCATTTCCTTTCCAGTAACCCTGGGATAAATAAAAAGGTAACCCATTTTACAGGGGAGGGCACAGGCACAGCAGGGCAAGTCCATCTAACAACTACGAGAGAAAGAACGGTGAAGAACCGGCTCCTCGGCCTCTCCTTCCGGCCTGAAGCCCTGCGGGTCTGGTCCCCGCGGGTGGCTGGGGGCGGCCGGGGCCCACGCAGACGGGCCCCAGCTCAGGCGGGCAGCTCCCCGACGACTCCAGCAGCAGGAGGCGCCGGTGGCCGCCGGGGGCGCTCGCGGGCTGTCTGTCCCCCGCGCAGCCCGCTCGCGTGGGTGGAGGCTCTGTGACCCCGGTGGCCTCCTGGTCGGCAGGACTGGTCCTAGCCGCCCCGGCACCGGGCCAACCAGCGTTCCCAGGGCTTTCCGTGCTGGCAGGGTCCGCTCCGAGGATTCCCGCCAGACCCCTGAGGCTTTCCAACGCCCTCCTCCTCCACTCGGTTTCTTCCTCCCGGCCCGAGTGGAGAGTGGGCGGCCCCACCTCCGTGAATGGCCGCCTGCCTGGAGGCGCGCACCAGGCGTAGACGCACGTGTGTAGCCCGAGGACCTGAGCCGCCCGCCGCCCCAGATCCGCGGAGGGATCGGTTTGGCGCCAAGATTCCGGAGGGCATTCCGGAGGGCTTCCCGGAGGGGGAGGCGCGGGACTTTGCGTGGCACTGGACCAGGGCCAGACTAGGGTTGGCCAGGGAAGGGACAGAAGGAGTCTGGACAGCGGCCGTGAGCTGGGACCCGGGAACAGGTGTTGGGGCGGGGCTAGCCGTCGACACCACCTACTGGGTGGACCCACAGCCGCCGTGGCGACCCCTCCCGGGCGGAAGCCCTGGGTCCCCGCGCCCCTGCCCGCCCTTGCCCTCCTCCCTCGGCCCTGCGGCCCCTTCCGGTCCTGGGACGCCGCTCCCTCCCGGGGCCTTGCAGAGCCACCCGCTTCCCTGAGGACCCCACTGCGAAGACTTCGGGACCACCCAGTCCGAGGAAGGCTTCCCGGATCCCCGCCACTGACCCGCCTCTTTGTCTCGTCTCTTAACGACCGAGTCACTATTTTGTCTGTTTGCCGTCGCCTCCCGCCCGGGATTCGAAGCCCCAGAGAGACGTCACAGCCGCAAGGGCGGGTGGGCCGCGGGCTCCCGAGACAGCTCTGGGTGGATGCAGGGAAGGACACGGGGCTGTCGCCGGGCGCAATGGGCTGGGGACCCCGAGGACTCCAAAGACCACAGTGCCCCCCACTGCAATTAAAAATGAAACATCAAACACGAACATGTGTTTTTCCCACTATGCCGCTTTGAATTAATAAACAAAATTTTAACAATTGTTCCTCATTTTTCGTGAGCCCCACTTTGCTGGTGCTTAGCCTGCTGTCCAGTAATCTAGAAGAGTGTGACATCACCAGCCCCGTGACATCACCCCATCTGGCTAGTGTCATCACCTACCTTCGCCCTGAGACATCAGCTCTGATTATCTGGTGAAATCGCCAGCCTGACTAGTGACATCCTTACATTCTGTTCCATGACGTCAACCTGCCTGACTGGTGACATCACTCGTCCCGCTCATTCGTCCTATGCCATCATTTAATTGTCCTGTGATGACACCCTGCCTGTCCCACGACCTTGGCCAGCCAACCTCTCTCCTGCACAGTGACTGGTGTTTCACGTCTGCCGTGTCACAGGCCTTGCGTGGGTGCCGCAGGCGGCGGCGGTCGCGGAGGCTGAGCGCGGGGTAGGTCAGATTGGGAAGCTGTGCGGAGGCCCTAGGCTCGCACGGGGACCGGGGACGGCAGAGGAGGAAGGAGAAGTGTGACCGAGGATGCCTACTCCTCGGGGGCGCCTGACCCGGTTCCCCTCTTGGATTTCCCTTTCAGGTTTCCCGCGTCGCCCGCCGTGACCTCTGCCCCACACACCCCCGCCCCGGGTCCTGGCCGGAGCCAGCCCGGAGAGGCCCCTCCTGGCGCTGCTCGGAGCGCGGCAGCGGCGCAGGGAGCGGGGCGATTTTCCCGCCTGGACCCGGCGATGCCAGAGGCGGGCCGGGCGGGGTGCCCAGCTCGCCTTTGTCGCCCGCGGGGTGGTGGGCTGGGAGCCGACGCGTGACTGACAGTCGGCGGGGGCGGCGGCCCTGAGCGGGTGGGGGGGGGGGGGTGAGAGAGGAGAGCAGCCGCTCATTGGCTGGCTCGAGTGTGGGAAAGAATGCGGAGCCGGGTTCACACACCCCGCGGCTGCTCTGCCTTAAATAGCCGGGCGGCTGGCGACGCGCGCGCGGGCCTGCGGCCTGGGACCCGCCTGGGAGGGATACGGCGGGCGGCGCGCTCCGCCTGGCACCGGGAGGCGCGGGAGCGCATCATGCCTGCAGACACCCCGGGGAAGCCGCGAGCCTCGCCGCTGGCAGGAGCCCCGGCTAGCGCGAGCCGAACCCCAAACAAGCCCCGGAGTGCGGCCGAGCACCGGAAGGTGGAACCTAGTCGGGCGTGGGTTGGGAGGCGTGGGGTGGGTACCGAAGGACGCGAGGCTTAGCCACTGCCCGACCCGCAGTCCTCCAAGCCGGTCATGGAGAAGCGGCGCCGAGCGCGCATCAACGAGAGCCTCGCTCAGCTCAAGACCCTCATCCTGGATGCCCTCAGGAAAGATGTGAGTCGGGGCTGGGGGCGGGGGGGGGGGGGGGGGCGGGAGGGCGGTGCGGGCGGGGAGATCCAGGGGCCGGGGCGCGGAGTCCGGAGTCTGGGGCACTACTGGGCTGCAAGCCGCCCACACCGGCCCCGCCCCCAGAGCTCGCGCCACTCGAAGCTGGAGAAGGCGGACATCCTGGAGATGACCGTGAGGCACCTGCAGAGCCTGCGGCGCGTGCAGGTGACAGGTGAGGCGCGGGCGGCAGAGAGGGGAGGAGGGAGGCGCGGGACCACTGCCGCGGGCACCGACCCCCTGTCCCCTGCCTCCCCCTCAGCCGCGCTTAGCGCAGACCCCACCGTCCTGGGCAAGTACCGCGCCGGCTTCAACGAGTGTCTGGCCGAGGTGAACCGCTTCCTGGCCGGCTGCGACGGCGTCCCGGCCGACGTGCGTTCTCGCCTGCTCTGCCACCTGGCGGCCTGCCTGGGCCAGCTGGGGCCCTCGCGCTGCCCAGCCCCACCGCCGGCCGCTGCGGAGGCCCCGGCGCCCGAGGTCTACGCTGGCCGCCCGCCGCTGCCTGCGTTCGACGGCTCCTTCCCCCTGCTGCGCCCCGGGGCAGCCTTCGCGCTGCCCCTCCTCCCGGGCCTGACTGGGGCGCCCCCCGCCGCCCCCGGAGCGGCCCTACAGGGCCGGGGCGCGCCCTGGAGGCCCTGGCTGCGGTGAGGCCGCGGCCTTTGCTGAGACTGTAGCCGAGAATATTTATTTCTTGAGTTTTGTTTCCTTGTCTTTGCGAAGAGTCTAGTCTAGTAGCGTCTGCAGCCGAGGCAGCCCTGTGCTTCCTGTGGCCCCCAGCGGTGGTGGTGGTGGTGGGGGGGGTGTCAGCTGATCACTTGGCGCTGGACCCTGGGGGGGGCTGCAGGAGACCCTTCCCCAGGCTTCCACCCCTGCTCCCAGCCCCTCCTGTCCGACCTGCCTGGGGGTTGGGCCTCCGCGTGGGGTCCGCCTGCATCTGCACTGGAGCCGGCAACCCACCTTAAAGTGGGAGGTCTGAGAGGTCCCTCCGGAGGCTCAGGCAGGGAAGTGACAGTCACCACATTTTCCAGAATGTATCCCAGTGTTGGGAAGCAATCAGCAGCACTACGCAAGTGTTTTTTTTAAGGTTCCTTTCCCCGCTTATACTTCTGGGGAACCTGGAATGTTGTCCCAGGGCCCTGAGCTGTGGCGAGGGGCAACCGTGCCCTGTAGCTTCACTTTTGGCGTGGTCCACCTCCTGCTTCATTCTCCTGGTTCAGCACAAAGCTGGCTGTGCCCACCATGAGCTGAGCCTGCCCCAGGCCAGTGTCTGCGCAGGAGAGAGTGGGGAACTGGGGCAAGGCTGGCAGAGGGCACTTAGTGCCTGTCTGCTATGTGCCCTATCCTGCCTGAAAGGGGGTCTTCCTCCGGGGAAGGGACTGGAGGTTTGTCCTGCCCATGGATCAGTCCTGAGCACCGGCTGTGTGCTGGCCCTACAACACTGGGCAGCAATACTAGCCAGGTTGGACATGGGCCCTGGAGTCACTGTCCTGTGGTCTCAGGTCTTCCCGAGCTGCTGCTGGGGGCTGTGCTCCAGGTGTGATGAGGGGGTGGTCGGGGTCACATGAGCTGAGACTGGAGTGTCTCATCCTGAGCCGCCTGAGGCTGAGCCAAGATCCATTTCCCACCTGTGGCCAAGTTCATCGGATGGTGCCTGCCGCCTGCCTGGCCAAGGCCCCTCACCGAGGAGGAGGGTGAGTCACAGCCAGGGGCTGGTCTGCCCCTCCTCCAACGGCTCCCAGGTCTGTGCTGTAGCAAGGGTTCACCTGGCCCTCCTGGACGTGGCCATGCTCACCTGGCAAATGTGAGCCAAGTCCACCAGCCAGTCACCCCCTTCTCTCTGGCTGCCTTGCCCATCTCCCTGAGCATCCAGAGCCTGGGTCAGTGGTCTTGGACGGGGTGGCGTGTGGGCCAGGTGCTGCTCCCTTGGACATAAACTCAGAGAGCCTGATCCTGGGGGAGCCTCAAAGTAATGCCTCTTCCTTCCGAGCTGGGGCAGTGGTGGGACAGAGAGGGAGGGGGTGTTGATCAGACCTGGGGGCCTTCTTGAGCAGGAGTGCTGCAGAGAATCTACTGTGGGAGCTGGAAGCCCAGTGTGATTGGGGGAGGGGAGCTGCTCAGGGAGGGCCTCAGTGCAGAAGCGGAGGGGAGGGCCTAGGGCTTCGGGATGTGAAGCCGGGTCAAGGGGTAGGGGGTGGTCAGGGCCTGCTCACACCTGGGCCCCACACATCCTGCAGGAAGAGCAGGGAGAAGGGTGGCCTGGGGACATCACCTGGAACTTGGGTCATCACCCTCTCCCATGGGCAGTGACAGCTATAGACCAGACCCCTGGCCTGTGTCCCCTCCCTGCCTTTCTTCCTGTCCCCTCTCCCCCACATGGCCTCCTGACCCCCATCTTCCTTCTTTCCTTCACTGTTGCCATGGCGATCTCTGCCTGGGGACCCTGTTAGCCCTGCAGGGACCTCTCAGGTCTGGGAGGAACCACACGCCAGTCCCTCAGACAGCCAAACTCCTTCCTTTGCACTCAGCCTCCCCCTGGAATTCTCTCCCCACTTTCCCACCTGATGCAGCCACCCCAGGCTTGGTGGGCTCCAGAGACCATGTCTGTGTCACTCAACTCTGTCCCCAGCACCCGCATGGAACAGCAAAGGAGCTCAATCTATATTGACCTAATTAATGAACTTGAATGAGAGATGAGCCAGGAAGTTTGGGGCTGGTGTCATCCTTGGTTAGATTAGGGAGCTCCCAGGGAGCACAGCCCAGGCTGGGCCCACAAGGAGAGGAGCCTGGGCACAGGGCAGCACAGGGGGCTGTCTTGGGCCCCCTCCCAGGCTGCCCCATGTCAGCAGCTGAAGGGAGCTGGGTCTCAGGAACAGCATCCTTGCCTCCCATTGCAGAAGGAACCACACCTCTCCCCACGCCCAGCCTGGACACCTGCCTGGTCCAGGGCAGAGCTGGGCAGACTCCCAAGTGCTTTTTCTGGTGGGAGGTGGTGGGAGTTGTGGCCCCAAACATGGGGTACTCTCCTCACCCTCTTCCTTCCTCCCACCCCCTGTTCCACCCATTTCCCACCCCTCCCCCTACCTGGGACAGGTCCCTTGGAGGATGGGCTGTCCATCATTCCCCTGTCTATCCCCCACTCCCAGCTATTTTTATCTTAGCTTTCTTCTTGCAGACCCTTCTTGCTGAATAATAGATGAAGCGCCTTCTGGGGCGACGCCTGGGAGGGGGTGGGGGAGGAATCAAGACTTCTTCCTCCTGGGGGGAGGGTGTGGCTAGAAGACCTGCTGGTCACTTCCCCTCCACGCAGGTGGAGTCTCATTTGTTGGCCTCCTTCCAGCCCAGTTTCTGGCAAAGACCAAGGGTCAATAAACATTTGCTGAATTCACATGCACAGTCAGCTGATCTGCCTGCCTCTGTGGGAGCCCTGTGCATCTGGCGCCTGTTTGCTTGTGGGACCAGGGCTTGGGGACCAAACAATGACAGCAAATCATAGGTGTTTGAAATCTGGAGAAAGACTGAGTCCCTATGGTGACAAGTTGGCCTGGCCTGTCACCGAGTCGGTGACAAGGTCCATGAAACTCCAGTCCCTTGGAAATTCGGGGTGGGGGAAGGGCCAGGGCTGCTGGGAGCCCTGGCTTGTGAGAGGTGAGGCCTTAGCCTACCCACCGAAGCTCCTGTGATGGTCTCCAGGCCCCAGCAGCCTCCCCGCCTCACCCGGCGCATCCTGGCTGCAGGATCTGCTCCTTTCCTGAGCAGGAAGCTGAGCCCAGGGGGCTCCACTGCTGTCCCTGGCTCCTCTGTCTCTGCTCCAGGGTATACCTGGAGGATGTACCCATCCTGGGATGCACCCAGGAGCAAGGAAACAGGCCCTGGGGTTTACAGCCTCCCAGAAGGCCCCAGTGATGCCGCTCCTGGAATTCAGCCTTGTGAATGAGTTGAGGTCGGCCTGCGTGACCAATAGGGTCCTGAGACTCGATGGGATGTCTCTTTGAGATTAGGTTCAGGTGACTCCTGGTGTCTCTGTCTCTGTCTGTCTCTGTCTCTGTCTCACCTGGTTCACTGGGGGAGGCCAGCTGTCCTCTGCTATGGAGAGGCCAACAGAGTGGACCTGCAGCCTCCTGCCTTCCGCAATGAGAGTGAATTTGGAAGCAGATCCTCCAGCCCCTTGAGCCTTCGGGTGAGACCCCGGCTGCTGCCGACATCGTCATGGCAGCCTTGTGGGAGACCCGCAGCCACAGCCACCAGTCAAGCAGCTCCTGGGAAGCTGGGATAATGAGTGCTTGTGGATTTGAGCTGTTTTAGGTTGCTTTGTTATGCAGCAATAAATAACAATAGTAAGTTTTATGTAAAATTTAAAACAAATATAAATAATAGCAGCAAACAACTAATTTTCCCAGGGTCACCCAGGGGTCACTACCGCTTGCCCTCATGATGAAGGGGCTGTGGAAGAGGTTGAGTGGGGGTACAGACAGCAGCGGGGGGAGTAAACCAAGAAACAGCCGCTGCGGCTGTGGCGATGAGCAGAGTGAGTCGGCCTAACTTTGATCTGGAAGCAGTTTCCCAGTGACCCCTGCCCAGTGGGTGCAGGGCCAGGCCAGGCCCAGCCCAGCCCTGCCGTGCTGGTGCTGAGCAGTCACAGCCCAAGCCCACCCCTGCGGTGTCAGACGGGACAGGCCTGGGGGTCATTTCTGTGGCGGTAACTGACGGGGCAGCCTGGATCTGACCGCAGGGTTGAGGGTTCACAGTCCCCAAGATTCAAACAAGGACAGGTGTGGGAGACCCTCTGTGCTGAGACCCACCGCCTTTGGTGGGCCTGGCCACAGCTGGCCTGCCACCCGCAGTGCACTGTGACATGCCAGGGCCACCCTGACCTGCCCCAGGTGGAGCACACCCACCCTTTCTGCAGCCTGGTATCCATGGTTACCAAAAAGCACCTGGCAGCTGCTGCCTCAAAGCTGTCCCCTCCTGGTGCCCTCCCAACCCCACCCCCACCTGGAGCCTTCGGGCTCACCTCCTAGGCCCTTGCTGCGAGTGAGGGTCTCAATGTCTGTGGGGGGAGTAGAAGATCATGGGTGGAAGCCTGAAGCCTTGTGCTTGGCCCTCATCAACACTTGACACACTCACAGAGGGGATGTGCACACCCCTAAGCCAGCAGGAGCCCACACCTCCCACTCTCCCATCCATACCCACGTGGTGGGCTTGGAAGGGGAACCTCCCTCAGCTGCTTGTCCCAGCCAGAGGCTGGTGGAGGGAAGCCTGCCCCAGCTCCGCCCCTCCCTCATCCAGGCCCCTCGCCCCAGCCTTGCCCTGTCTAGCACAGTGAAGGGGAGGGTCCAGCAGCCCCAGGTGATGGGAGGCTCCACCGTCCTCCTCCGGCTCCCACGTCCATCCCCCGATTTATGAGCTGATGTGGCCTGTGGCAAGCACACCCCTCCAGAGGGCTCCAGCCTGAGCACCCCCAACTCCTGACCCTTCTCATTGTCTCTCGTGGTCCCAAGCCCTGCAGGGTCCTGGACCTTGGCTCTCCCTGACAGCCCAGGGTCAAGAAAGTCTTATGCAGGCCCTGGCCAAGCATCTTTCTCTCCATGGACCAGGAGGAGACTGGCTCTGCGTGCCATGCCAGGGTGGGACAGGGCATCATGTGGCTACCTTCTCTCCCATTCAGCTGCAGGAAAAGAGGAAGCTCCGTGAACGTATCCCTAGGAATTTGGTTTGCTGAATTCAGAGGTGAAGGTAACATCCCAGGAGTGAGCTGACTGACCTGTCCACATGGAGCTGGCAATCTTTGTTGGACTCTCCCAGAGCAGAGGCCAGGCACCGTGAACTGTGTGTGTCCCCCCTCAAATTCATATGATGAAAGCTACCTGATGGGGTTGGGGAGGGGGCATTTGGAGATGATTAGGTCGTGAGGGTAGAGCTCCCAGGAATGGAATTAGGGCCCCTACAAAGGGGACATGACACGTGAGCTTGTGCCATGTGATGACACAGTGGGAAGGTGGCATCTGCACCCCAAAGAGGGCCCTCACCAAACCCAACCCTGCTGGCACCCTGACCTTGGACTTCCAGCCTCCAGAACTGTGAGAAATGCATTTCTGTTGTTGATAAGCTGCCTGTCTGTGGTGTTTTGTTGTAGCAGCCTGAACAGACTAAAACGTCAGGGTTTAATGTGACCAAGGAGATTGAAAGCAGGTGGTTGTCACTGACTTTCGAGAACCGTTAGGACAGATGCCTCCCCCTCCCGGGGACAGAAACTAAAGCTTTGGGTGTCTGGCTGATGCTCTTCTGTGCATCGGGCCCCTCCCCAGCACCAGGGCACACAGTGGGGAGTGGGGCCTAAGGATCTGTGGGCCCCCTCAAACCACCCCCGGTGAGCCTTATCCTCAGCCTCAAATTTGGCCTCCTGCCCAAATCCAGCCAGGCAGCTTCTTCCTTCCTGCAGCACCTACTGTGAGGCCCAGAACACTGGGCAAGTCGGGACCACCCCAGCCTGGAGCCTGGGAGTGCTGTGTGGAGTCAGTGAAACAGTGCCTGTGATGTCCAGTCCCCAGAGGGGCTTGGAACTCGGGACCTGTGATTACAGGGCCCATCACTGTGACGTGTGCATGTGTGACCAGGCTGTGGGTTTCTTGGCTGCCATCCCCTGCATTCAGGGTGCATGGTTCCCTCAGGTCCAGGATGTGCTGTTGGAGGAAGCTGGGAGAAGGGAGGGGGGAAGGGAAGCAGTTACCACCTATTCCTGGATCTATACCTGCTTCTGGGCATCCAGGAATCATCCCGCCCAGAATCAGGCTCCATCTGGGCAGTAACAGGAGGACAAACACACAGAGCCAGAGACACACAATCTCATAGTCAGAGATACATGGTTGTGGAATTGAGAGACGTACCCTGAGTTGGGCACAGAGAGACAGCCCCCAAGAGATGGCCAGGGCCCTCCCCACAGAGACACACAGCCTCAGACCTGCTCTCCAAGTGCCTCTGAGCCTCCTTCAGTCGGCTCCACGTTTGGGAAGCCCGCAGACACGCCTCCTAGCCATGGTTTCCTCTTGGAGCGCCCTTACTGGGGCAGCCTCTGGCTCCTGGTAGCACACGAGTGGCTCGGAGAAGGCTTCTAGCACAGCCTGCGTTGAATCCTGCTTCTGCTGTCACGCAGTTGTGTGCCCTTGGGCAAGTCACAAGATCTCAAATATCAAGTGGGATCAGTAATAGAACCTATCTAGTAGTGCTGTGTGGCTAAAAGGATTAAATAAGATAAATAAGCTATGTTATGACAATTGCTTCCAGCCAAGATGGAGTAGCAGGGACTAGATTTACTCTCCTGCCTTAAACAACTAAAAAACTGGACAAAATATATGGAATAGCAGGCGATGAAAGAGTGGTCCCTGAGAAGTGGGGAAACAAATGGAGTGAGCCTCGTATTGCCCCAGATGACCCCTTGGAGAGAGTCTCCAGGCCACAGTGCAGGAGAGGGGAGCCGGGCAGAGCTTTGCAGGCTCCCTGAGTTGAGGAGCTATTGCTGACAGTCTGGGGGCATGAAAGTGGAATTCATAGGATAGAGCATCAGAGATAAGAGAGGTGCCAGAGAGAGTTCTCCGGAGCACTGTGGGGTCCCCCCAAGTCTGATCAGAACATGCTTGTGAGAGTCCTCGAGGCCAGGGCAAGAGCCACCCAGAAGGATTAGAGGGAGAATCCTGAGTCCACACAGGTCAGACAGTTCCAGTCTCCACCAGCCAGAATGGAAAACCTCATAATTCGTGGGGCATGGCAGAGCGCTCAGAAGGGTCTTGTCCCAATGGTGAGGAATCACGAGCCTTAGACCAAACACTGTTCTGGTCTCGCCTAACAAAGTTCATAAACAACACCCGAAAGGATCAAACTGCTTCCAAGTGACTCAACTGCATCCAGGACAAAGCTCAAAAAATGTTTATAGGAGCACAGAAATATCCAGCACCCAACACTTTAAAGTTCACAATGCCCAACATCCAGTAAAAAATTACCAGGCATACAAAGAAGCAGGAAAAAGTGACCATAATGAGGAGGAAAATCAATCAATTGAAAGCAACCCAGAAATGTCACAGATGATCGAATTGGTAGACAAGGACTTAAAAGAGTTGTACAGTTGCGCTTCATATGTTCAAGAAGCTGGAGGAAGCAGTCGATATGGGAGAGATGTTGAAGGTACAAAAAAACCCAACTGAACTTCCAGAGATGAGAATTACGACGTCTGACAGGAGAAGCGCATCAAGTGGGAGTAATGGCAGGGGAGACATCGAAGAGGAAAATATTAGTGAACTGCAATGTAGCAGTGAAATAAAACAGGTTGAAAAACTGGGGGAATAAAAGAAAAGAGCATGAGTGAGCTGTGGGGCAACTTTAAATGGCCTAATACGCATGCA